GTACAGTGCTTATATCGTTCTTGAGGTGGGGGGGAGCGATTAGTCAGCTCGTCGTTTCCTCGTCTCCTGCGTGCCGGGAACAAGGGAATGACGAGATGACTAATCGCCCCCCGCCCACCTCAAAAATGATAGTAGCACTGTACAGAACTGCTCGTTTCACTCGCTTATTTTCCATGTCACTGAAAAGACCTGAAGTGAATGACCGAAAACAGCTGTTTGCCAATACAACTTTTCAATCGTAAACGAAATGGGAATTTTTGCCGAGTTTTCAGAGTCTTTGTTTTCGTAATCTTGTGTGTTGCACTGTCTTTCTTCCTCCGTTGGAGAAGAAACAAATTGATCCGCGTCGCCACGAATGCTGATGGCGAAAAAAGCGAAATTGAACTTTAGGGAACCTCCCCTGCGTTCTCATTTGGAAACCTAAGGGGTCAGATGCCGCCTGTTTGGTCAAAATTCTCATTCGTGACCTTGTGAGCCCCTTTTTCCCAGCCCATCCACCTTCACCCCGCCCACCTTCCAAAAAGATAATAAAATTGGATGATACGGATTCTGACCTCAACGTTTTCTTATGCAGTTGATGCTGCATACATAGATTTATCAGCAAATCATAAAAAAGGAAATTGGTTTGAATCGACGATATTCACTGATGATGAAGCAACCGTCCTCTCCATTTCATTTGGACGTTCTCCAACCAGGTAATACATGGCCTCGGGAATAGGTGTTCTTGTGCAACTTCTCCGAGTATTTAACCATCTCTATAGAAGCAGGAGATGCAATCACTGGAACAAAAAAGGTTATCGGCCTGACGTTTCGAATGCTCGCTTGAACTCATCGTCAGAGAGAACCGCAGGAAGGGGTGCATGGGGTGCACATGAATTATAGTCTGTAGCGGCCACGCGACCACATGTGTGCTAAAAGTAACAGCTATCTTGATCATAGATGGGGGTCGTGATGGATGCAATGCTGCCTTGCAGTCTGGGTCCGATTAATTAATTGTCACAATTGCAGACTTTTACGGGGTGATTATGCGATAATTCGGTTCGCTGTCTTGGATGTTTTTGGTACTCCGTGCCCTATCGGCGTGACTGTAGTGGCCCCTAGCAGCCACTTGGCGCCCAAAATCAGCCGCTGACACGTGGCGCCTTTGGCCTGCAAGGCCTGCGCACCCACGTCGGCCTTCGCCCATCTCAAGGTCGCGCCACAACCGCTAGTCTTGACAGTAGCCACGTGATTGGCTGCCATAACAAAGCATGAGCCGGCATTCCGGCGATTCCCGACGCTCTCGTTACTCTGGAATTGACGCCCTCGCAACCGGACTGCAGTCATCTATTCTCCTATTCTTTTGTGCAGAATACACTATTCCTAACACTGTGGCCTTCTCACCGTCTTCCCTCTCCTCTCCTCTCCTCTCCTAAGGAATCATTGTCTGAAGATCGCAGTTGCTAGGGTTTAACTTACTTAACCCCCTGCGA